AGGCACAGGGATTGGTCCTGTTGGCATGGTCCCTGATGCTTCCCCCGATTGGCACTTAGCAGAGTCTGCTGATGTTCATAGGGGAGGGGACCTGAGGGGAGGCACAGGGATTGGTCCTGTTGGCATGGTCCCTGATGCTACCGGTTGTCCCCTAACCGGAATCGCCCATCTGCAGGTCAGGAGAAGACCCCTCATGTTCTCTCGTGAATACGGTTCTGGCTGCTACGGGGTTCTCTGTATGCCTACAATTAGGAGTAGTGGTAGGTAGGTAGTGTGAGGTGAAATTGAGAGAATAATATAGCTTTGAAAAAATAAAATAAAAAAAATTACGGGGCCTGACATCGACATCATGACAGAGCTTCAGTGCATTCACACTTCCACCAACCCGGTACATCTGCATGCGACCTTCCCGCGGGCCTGTTTGCAGTCTTCCACAAAAATCTCAATATTCTCAATTTCTGTGAAAAAAAAAAGCAAGGCGCGAAGCTGCAAAAGTGGCCCCCCCCTTGAGAAACTCCAATATTGCAGCTTCGTGCCAACGCAAATTGGCTAGCTAAATGGACTAAAAAATGAAAACGAAACTCTTTTATTGGTCAACGGACAGGTACTCCACGAAATCGGTCCTTATGGCCCTGCGCTGAAGATACACAAAAGGATCAACGGTCGCCGGATGTCACCTCTCACTGCACGTCGTTGAAAACCGAACTGCGGAAGTGTAAATCACATAAATGTTGAATATTGTGCTAATGTGAAGGCCTGCAAGTACGTGTATAAGTAAGTGTACAAAGGGTGTGATCGTGCTGTGGTTTGCGAGCAAGATAATAATGCACCGATCGACGAGGTCAAATTGTATCAAGATATGCGTGTTGTAGGTGCATGCGAAGCATGCTGGCGTCTGTTTGAGTTCGACGTTGTGGAACAATGGCCCGCAGTCGAAAGATTGTTCGTGCATCTTGAAAAAATGCAAAAAGTGCAATTCGAACCTGGCACTGAGCATGACGTTGTTTCGCAAGGGTTCCCGAAAACGAAATTGACGGCATGGATGAAACACAACTCTTTGAATGGGCATGTTCCTAAAGACGAACTTCCTCTATATGCAGAGATCATTACTACTCATGTGTGGGATAACAAAAATAAGAAGTGGAACCGAAGAAAGCGTGATCTTCACTGTGGTCCCTACGAAAAGATATCTCGATTGCATCATGTGAGGATCGTGGAAGGCGAACGATTTTATTTGTGCCTGTTGTTGAACCATGAACATTCTCGTGGGGTACGCTCTTTTGCTGAAATTCGTACAGTGGACGGAGTGGAATACGATTCTTTCCGATCCGTATGTCTTCGATTGGGCCTTTTGCAAACAGACGATGCATACTTTGATCTCTAATGACTTGATTTGACATATCGCTAAACTTTTTTTTGTAAAAACCCACTCCACAAAATGGAAGTTTCATTTTGGGTTTTAGCTGAAGTGACAAGAGTCACATGAAACCCACGAAGGTGTTCAAAAATTTCGATCAATGCATAGACACAGTCGCTGCACATTACATGCCTGAAAAAGTTCGTAAAATATTCACTATGCTTCTCGCGTTTGGCTTAGTGAACGATCCGGTCCGTTTCTTCGAACGACATTGAGATAAGATGTCTGACGATTTTCAGTATCGTCACGGCTGTGAAATTGTTCCCCCGAACATTTTGCAATTGTTGGTGTTATTCCATCTTG